AGACGGACCCCAACTACCCGCAACAGGCTCTCAGCAGCAGCCTCCCACGGCACAGCCCTCGACCTCAGCATTAATTCCAAGAGTGCTGAGATCGAGCGCTAGGAAAGATTCGGTATCCGAATGTGCAGCGGGAGTGTCCGTACCGCCGGTGATTTCTGTTTTATCCCCTGGGGGTCGCAAATATTGACCCCTCAAAGTCCCGTGCACACACCATTATCTACCCAGGGTGTTAGCCCTGAATACCGGCCGACAATGGCACGGCAGATAACCAATCTGCCTTGCCAAAAGCCCTTATAGCTGTTCCACCAACGAGACATATTTTTGTCTCGCGGCTCTCCCCTGATCAAACATCGGAAGATGTTCTCGCCTTTATACAAGGTAAAACCAGAGCCGAAAAAATTAAGATAAAGGTGGAAAAGTTTAAATTTTCTTACGCAAGGGACATTTCATCTTTCAAGATAAATGTCCCTAACGAGCTCTTTAACACTATTTGCTCTCCCAACTTCTGGCCAGAGTACATAGTTGTTAAGGAGTTCGAGGCGAAGAAAAAGAAAAAGCGGCCTGTAGGAATAACTCTTCCCAGGCCTGATGTTACCACTGCGCCTTCTACGTCTTCCAATCCCGACCCAAAAAACTAACCCACTCCTTAGGTATTTCCTATCAGAATGCAAGAGCTTACGTAGTAAGCTTCCTAACTTGTATTCTGATAGCCTTTCGTTTGCATCTCAGGTTATTGTGCTCACAGAAACCTGGTTAAAGCCGGAGATTCTGAGCTCCGAAGTTTTTCCAGCTGTGTTCACGGTATATCGGCTAGATCGCCCTATCAGACGCGGGGGTGGAGTTCTTATAGCGGTGGACTCCTCACTCACGTCAGAATTATTAACCTTCGAGGAATGCAACGATGTTGAATTCCTCTGTGTGAAGCTATCTATCAAAGGTAGCTCAATTTTTATTACCTGTTCCTACATACCTCCACTGTCGGAACTTCCTATTTATTGGAATCACCTTTCCGCTATTCAGATGGTTTCCAGTAGACTTTTGGATAGAGACCAGTTGGTAGTTCTTGGAGATTTTAATATCCCTGGTGCTATTTGGTGCTCGAATAATTCCACCAATACTCTCAATACACCTACACAACATGACTTTATCGCTGGCTTGTTTGACATTTCGCTGTCTCAAGTCAACCATGTTCGAAATTCCTTACAGCGCTTGCTCGATCTTTGCTTCGTCTCTGATCCTGCGAGAGTCAGTTTAGCAAGGGTGGCGCCTCTGACGCAACCCGAAGATCCTTATCATCCAACTTTCGATGTGACTCTGATATTGGGTGTGACGTACAGCATATTTCTGACCGTCCAGCCAATAAGTCCTATGTTTTCGCAAAACGGACTTTGAACGGCTGAATAATTTATAAACGAGTTCAATTGGTCCGATCTATACATGTGCACTGACATGGCAGTTGCCGTTGATATTTTTTACAGTGCCATGAATTCATTTTTTACTGAATGTGTTCCGTTATATTATCCGCCAAGCTCGAATAAACCGCCGTGGTTTACTAAAGAGTTGAGCCGACTTAAAAATAAAAAATCTAGACTGTATGCTAAATTTAAAATCACCGGTTCTCAATCTGCCCTTTCATTTTATTTATCAGCTCGGTCAAACTTTTCCGTGCTGAACGCGCAGTGTTACAAAAACTATTTAACTCGTTGTAGGGCCCAGTTCTCACAGGACCCAAAACAGTTTTATAATTTCGTTAACACTAAACGTAAACCTAAAACAAATCCTTCCTCGCTTTCATTTGAAAATACTACCGCAAATAATGATCAGGCAATAGCCGATCTATTTTCGCAGTTTTTCAAACAACCTATTCTAGCTCTTCGTATATATACCAGACTTATTCCTACGACATACCCAAATCGAACTTAATTTTCTGTCCTAGCCTAAACGAAAGCTCTCTCCTTTAGATCTCATCGTGTCAAGCCAGTTTATTCGCCAGGTCCCGACGGAATTCCTGGCTGTGTGCTCAGGTATTGTGCCGACGCCCTGTGCTATCCCTTCTGAAATTGTTTACCTTGTCCTTAGCAACTCCCACTTTCCATTATTTGGAAGAATCGTTTATTATTCCTCTCACAAAAAAGGTAGCAATTGGATGCCACAATTATAGAGGAATCTCTAAGTTGTCGGCCATCCCAAAATTATTTGAAAATATTATCACCCTCATTTACAGCACCTTTGTAGATCGGTTTTTCTCCATGTCACATGGTTTTATTAAGCGAAGATCAACAACAACAATCTTTTGGAGCTCTCTTCCTATATTATAAAGGCTTCCATAATAATTGTCAGACAGATGTAATCTATACTGATTTCAGTAAAGCATTTGACTCTGTTAATCATTCTCTCCTCGTTAGAAAACTCGATTCAATGGTTTCCAAGTGATCTTTAATTGGATCTCTAGTTATTTGAATGGCAGGACGCAAAAGGTCCTCTTTAAGAATAATTATCCAATATTCTAAGGGTTACATCTGGTGTCCCGCAAGGAAGCCATTTGGGACCTTATTGTTTACATTGTTCATAATGACCTGCCCAAAGTCTTGACTAACTCCAGAGTACTTATGTACGCGGATGACGTCAAGCTTGCGTGCAATACAATGACGTTGCCTGCCAGTCGGATTTACAAACAGATCTTAATAATTTTCAAACTTGGTGCCGTGTAAACTTATTAAACTTAAATGACTCGAAATGCAAGCTAATGACATTCTCTCGTGTCGCTCCTAAGCTTGCTACTTACATGCTGAACGGCTGCTCTTTGGAAAGAATTAATACAGTTGACGATTTGGGCGTCCGCTTGGACCCAAAACTTGACTTTATTGATCATATTTCGTCTATGGTGAATAGGGCCAGGGGTGTGCTTGGATTTATAAACGGTGGTCGAAGAATTCAATGACCCTATGTTAAATCTTATATACTTCCTTAGTTCGTCCTATCCTAGAATATGGATGCTGCGTTTGGAGCCCTCAGTACGGCGTCCATAGTAAACGCATTGAGTCGGTTCAAAAGAACTTTTTACTTTTCGCTCTACGCGGTTTAAATTGGATGCAAACCAAAGATTACCTCCTACTCTAGTAGACTCCTATTAATAAACTTGCCGCCTAGCCAATCGTAGAACGATGCTAGGATAACTTTTATTTTAACCTTATCCATGGTGATTGGAAAGTGCTGACTTGTTGGTCAGCTTAATTTCCATGTACCATGTAGAACCACTAGATCCTATATCCATTAGTGTTGCGCCACTGTAGGACCTCCTTTGAACTGCATGAACCTTTTAGAGTGTATGTCAAATTATAATGATTTGTACACACTAATCTCTAACGTAGATTCCCTTCCAAAATTAAAATCTTTATATTAACACACTTAGTAAGCATGCAAGCTAACAATCTGGCAGCACGCCGGTAGTCAATTTTCCTCGTATTCTGTCCTATATTTTCCATCGCGCCTACTAACACCTAACCCAAACAGGCACGTGCCTGGTGTCATACGGGCCACTTGTATGTACTGACCTTAGTGCATCAACGTCCAAGAAAAAATGAGCTGAGTACTATTATAAAAGCAGAAATTGTGACAAAATATAACTTGGGTTTTTCCGTAATAAATATCAGTAAGGAATATAATTTGCCACGGCAAACTGTTTATTATGAAATCAATAAATATAAGAAATTTAATTTTGAAGTAGAATAAGGCCACAGGTACAGAAGACTTGGTCCCGTTGTTGGGAACCATGCATCATGCAGATGATTTATTCTCCAACAGGTCAGCGCTCCGTTCTAAACTTATTACCAGGTTTTTTATCAGAAGATGGTGTGGAAACACTTGATTTGCCACCACCAGATGTGGTCGCTTATAAAGTAAAATAGGAGAAACGAAACGATTACAGAGGTCCCAAATAATTCCCCTAAAATGCCTCAAAACTTTAGAAGATTCCGTTCCGAAACGCCTCCAAAAGATCATAGACACCAGAGGAGGAAATATTTGTTATTAATTTGCAGATTAAACGAAATTTGTATTACATAATGAGAACTAATCTTGTGATTTAACTGTACTTTTGCCACCTATTGAGTTTCTATATTTATACCCTTGAAGGGTATAAATTTCAGTCAGAAGTTTAGACTTTTTTGGTGGCAAATGATTGTAATCATTATTTCAACTATAAAAATCAAATTTCCCTCCGCTCGGCATGTCCTTGCAGACATGCAGTACCAAACTAGAACGAATCCTCCGGCGTGCTTAACCGTTGCCCTATCATTGTTTTAATTTGAGCGCTTCTCCGGGCTTGCGCAAAACTTTTTCTTCGCCGAACAAATTGAATGCTTTTATAACTACTTATACTTATACTTAAATATTACTTGCTGTCAATACTCCAAATTTTGCTCAAAATCCGTTTCAGCAATTAAAGCTCGCTTGTATATGTTGATAGATAAAAGTAAGGTCTTCTTTCTGGGAACCTACCATGTAGGTCATAGCTTCTGAACACTCTGCAGACAGTTTCGGCGTACACTTGTGAGAATAGGGAATACCCACAATAAGACGGCTTTTCTGTGGCTGCAGGTTTTTAATAGTTATCGATTCTTCTATTAAAATCGATGTTTCTATATATTTTTAAACATCGATCAATTAATAAACTGAATCGATTCTCGTTCACCGCTATCACATTAGTATAAGAGAACAAATTTTATATTCCTCCAAAGGTTCTAAACTTAGGCAATCACATTTCGCCAAAAATGGGGCGTAGTAAGTTTGCTTCGCCTAAAAGGTACCAACATAGAAGGAAAACACATGTTACGGTCAATTAATTTTTATTATTTCTTTTTGTCAGGTAATGCAACACGGAGACTTTATCAATCGGATTCGGAAAACTCTGTACTATGGCGTGGAAACAGCGGACACTGACTTGAAAGTTGTTCCATCCCCCTCGCAGAGTACGCATCTGAGATATTTTCCGAGCCCCATCGAGGACACTCTTTGCATCGCCTAAGTTGTGTGGCCGCTGGTAAAATTCAGGCAACACCATGTTCCCTAATTATGGCTCTCATTTACCTGGACCGCTTGAACACGATAGATCCGGGCTACAGCTGTCGCATTACTCCCCACGAGCTGTTCGTTGTATCGCTGGTGAGTAGGCATATTTACTATGTTGTCTATACAAAATGTATGTATGTATGTCTTCGTAACCTGTTGATTAATAACCTGGTAGAATAATGCACACTGAGTCACTCAACTAGCGTATGTATTCATGTATTTACACATACATATATGTACATACATACATTTGTAATACACAAAGAGTGCACTGTCGGGACTTTAATCGAAAAGTCAAGACAAATGTGATAATTTAGCTTCTATATAAATACATACATATGTATGTCGTCATTTCGTTCCGCTCATTTGTTCAGCTCTTTTTTTTTCCTTTTTCTTTCATATATTCTTGGAATGAATATTTGAAAAGAAAAAAAAAAAGCAATGGCTTTAGCGAAGTTATAACAGAAAAGCGGCAAAGGCCTTAGTTTATGTATATGTACATTTATTTATTAATGAAGTATTAGATTCCCAGTATTTACGTATGTGTTTAACTTTATTATAATATAATACATTTTTACTTATTCTTTAACCTGTAAAGAACGCTGTGGACCGCAATTGAACATATTTTAAAATAAAAATTAAAAGTTTTCCGATTAATATTCGCAGATGATTTCAACGAAGTTTTATGCCGGCCACGATGAACGGTTCTTTATTGAGGATTGGGCTAAGGAGGGAAACATGACAGAAGACAGACTGAAGGAAATGGAACTAGAGTTTCTCTCTGCTGTAGTGAGTATTTATAATGGTTCCAAGCTTGAGTACACCTATACATTTTTGAACTAATTTTTAAATTATGAACATTTCTATCGGCAAGTTCTTGCAATCTAAAATTTCATTTTCTGTCAAAGAACACAAAAACCCCTTGTAGGAGAAATGTAAACTATTTATCAGTGTGGACTGCCGTCCACGTATTGACGATGATCACATAAAATTTGCCCTTAACTATATGTATATATACATACATATATTCTTAATCAGCATCAACAGATATAGTCATGTTCGCCTGTTCCACATTCTTTTGAATTTTAAAGATAACTGGTAAAACAACAAATATGCGGACTTACGGTCCGCAAAAAAATAAATAGATTAACTTTTAAAAGGGGAATATTGACATAGCTTCGTCGACTTTCAACATATGGGCAATTCTCCAGAAAGGTCTACCGCGGCAAAAAACTTGCTTAAAAACTTGTATTTTTAGCATTGTTACATAAAAATTGGTCAGATTGATCAAGGCTAAAATAATTTTTTCTAAAATAAATATCGAAAAAATCGATGTCAAACATGCGTGAACGCAATTTTTGTTATATTTATAAAAAAAAAGTCATAACAAATGGCATGTTTTGTTTTGATGCCAATTTCTTAAACAAAAGAATTTTGCTTTTACTTTGCTTTCTAATTTCACACAGAGAATGCAAAGAGTCAATATAAAAGGCAAAAGGACATATGCGATCACCAATATTCGTACAGTCTAGTTTAAATTATAGCTTTCTAAAATGTCGCGTGCGACTGGAACTAAAATTTAATTTAAAAAATAACTACTTAATATTTTAAAATCAAACAAAATAAATTATTAAGATAATTCATTGCATAATTCATTAAAAATTATTGTAATACAATTTTTCATCACGTTTCGCTGAAATCAGAGCTTAAACTGGTTTCTTGCAAATGTAACTTCTGTTTTTGTCGCGTGCGAATGCAGTACATTTTACTGAATATCTTGAAAACGAACAAGGGTTCAAAATCGATCTTGGCACCAATTATAGTGCTAACCAAGAGCTATACGTAAAAAATTTTTTTAAATTAAAATAAGTTTGAATACGTACGAATGTCTCATTCGACACCAGAGAATTGCCCATATATGCATATTAATATTTGCTATTTAAAAAAATAATGGTTTAAATATTATAAAAATCTAAGGGCTATATGAGAAGCTAGATAAATCACAAATATGATTTTCGGTATATTTATTTTTAATGAACCGGAATAGATTGATTTGAAATTTTATAATTGGAAACCGCAAGGCTATTCAAGCCGTCATATTCTACATCTAAACACTCGTCTAAGGGCATCTTAAGCATTTTAATCTGACACTGTTTAAAAGATATTTATTAAACAAGATTTTGGTAGGTCTTTTCCAAATTGCAACTTTCTTTTTATACTTAGTACCCATTGGGTGCCAGCTTACCGACCCACAAAGAATATATATTCTTAGTCCTGTCTATGTCCGCTTGTCAGTTCGAGTATATTAATAACGCTACAAGTTGAAACATCTCTCTTCATATAATGAAAGGTATCGTCTGAAGATTATCTTCGTATCATTCATATAGGTTCAAAAATTTGTAGAATCTGACAGACGAACATTGAAAGATAAACTTGGCTGTTGATGCTAATCAAGAATATATATACATTATAGGTTCAAAAATTACTTCTTCACTGCTTAGCAAACTTCTGGTAAAAATAAAAATGAGTTGCAAGGGTTTAAGTTCGAAGATACTAAACAATTTTTTTTCTTTCTGTTCAGGACTGGAATATATACATTTCTAACGAGGACTTCTTTGCCAAATTGAACAGTGTGGAAAAAACGCTGGCGGAGAGGAAGGATTACGGCGAGGCTGGCTAACGTACAGTGAGCTAATCCAACTGCTTCCCAGCTTTGAGTGGACGAAATTCCTGGCAAACAGCTTTTCCGTTCTGGCGCTGAGCTATGCAGCAAGTGTGATAACATTAGCGAGTGCTTTTTTTATAGCCAGCCAGGTTCCAGGCACAATGTGGCACCGCCGACCCATCTACAGCTTCACCTTCGGTAACCACTCTGACTCTTGGGGACGCAGCGGGTACATCAACGGCTTCAACTTCATCGCAACCGGGATCTGCTAATAATTTTGATAACGTCTCTGATGTTTCGTGCAACGAAAGCTGGCATGCGCTGAACGTTGAAGAGGAATTGTTGAAACACGAACGAGTGTATTGCACCCAGGCAATACCAAATGAGACTGAGTACACGCACCGAATATTCCAATTCTCCGTTCCATATTTACCGTTAAGAAGAAACAATTTCGATAGTGAAATTTTGCAGGACAGTACTCAAAACTACTGGCTCAATATTAAATCACAGTATAGTAGCGATACCTTAAAAGAAAATTTAAATTATTTCATAACTGATAGTAACCGAATCTTGTCGAACTTACGCTGTCAGCAAACAAGAAATGCTTCTATGTTTTGGCAACTGCTTACCGAAGCAATGACTAATTCCTTATTGGTTTTGATTTAAAATAGTTGATCTATTTATATTGTGCATCTTAATACATAAATAAAGGTTCAATGACTCAGCAGTGCAGTTAAATATACTCATTTTTAAAATCATATTTTTTTAAACTGGTCACTTTAAAGCTGATTTAATTTTATGTATTCTGTATGAATAAGCTCTCTAACTGGAAAATTCAAATTTTATTGTTGTCTACTTTTTAGTTCACATGTATTTTCTTATTATACCCTTGCAGGGTATTATAATTTCAGTCAGAAGTTTGCAAAGCAGTGAAGGAGTCATCGCCGACCATGTAAAGTATATATATCTTGATTAGCATCGACAGCCGAGTCGACCTAGCCACGTCCGTCTGTCCGTTTCTACGCAAACTAGTCTCTCAGTTTTGAAGCTATCTCAATGAAACTTTGCTGTTAGTCTTCTATACACTCTCACTCGTATATGTGTCGGAAGGGGCCAAATCGGACGACTATATCATATAGCTTCCATAGGAACATAGGAAATTTGGGATATAGCCATTTTAAAATCATATCATATTCTACAATTTTGTGTAAAATTTTATGAAAATCGGACTACTATATCATATAGCTACCATAGGAACGATCGAGGAATTAATACAATTAAAAATCATAACATTTTCAGTTTCAAATGATTTTTATCAAATTTGAGATATAGCCATTTTATATTTTTCTACAATTTTGTGTACATTTTATAAAAATCGGACTACTATATCATATAGCTACCATACAAAATCGTTAGATATAGGGGAAAATGCAAAACTGTTAATGTAAAACTGTAAATATAATATGTATAGGTTATGGAAATGAAAGCAAACAAACAACTTCATTGTTTTTTAACATAAGTATATATAATTTATATTATATTAATATTTAGTCATTGAAGTTGTATCTGCAAGGGTATATAAATTTCGGCGGGCCGAAGTTAGCTTCCTTTCTTGTCAATTTAAGAGTAAAGCCAATAGGATATGGTTAGAATTGTATAGAGGGCACAAGTTTTTAAGCACGTTTAATAGGCACTTTTCAGTGTAGCTTGGTAAGAGGACAGTCCTTAACTTATTGATTGTTTTTATCTCAATATAAATACATATTTGGTAAACTATTATACTATAAATTAAATTTAAGTGAATTGATTTTCTAAGACTTTGATTATAGTTCTTTATAATTTAGCTTGGCCCATTAGGCGACTCACAAATTTAAAGAGTTAAAATCTAACCAAAAAAATTTTTTTTTTCCCAAATACGTGTTTACGTAATACATGACCAGATCGTAGAACTTTTCATTCAAATTGACGAAAAACCAATAAGAATAAATTATTTAAATTGCATGTTAGGCAATAAAAGTATTTTTAAAATAAAACCATCGTCGTCGATTTATGATAACTTAAAATAATGCCGCATCTAATTGGCCAAAATAGCCCAAACCTCTAGCTTTCTTTAGTTTAGTCAGTCGCAGCATCTAGCTTCTCTGACGGTTTTTTCTTCCATGAACCATAAGGGACACATTCCAAGCAGACATCCCACTGTAATGCCAACAATACGACCCTGGAGGAAAGAGTTTTGTTTTAATTATTAGCTTATTTCGATGGCTCTGCAGTTTGACCTACAATACTGGATGATCGCTTGCTGGACTTCAGCTCGAATTGGGCTGGTGTCAACTTGGGCTGCTTCAGGCCCAATATCTGGCAGCCGTTTTCAACATAGGTGGCCATAGTGATGCCTAGAATATCGCTTATGGTGTTACCAAGGCCAGCTGCCGCCATTGTTGACAGCGTTATAAAGTGACCCAAAATAGTATTCAATGTATTCGCCCTAAGAAAGCAAACGTTTGTTTAAAATTATATCTTAGTGTAATCTAATTATAATTAGAGCATACATACCGCCATTATCATGATAAAGTTATCAAGAAACCCGAAAGCGATAAAGGGAACAGCATTCACAAAAAATACTAACAAAAGTTATTGTCGAAGTAAATATGTATTTATTAATGAAATCCTTATTTGACATGTTACTTACTACTGTATAACTGGCTAGCTGTGGGAGCTGCTGCAGATTCGACTGGGAACAAGAGAAAAGTATGCATTTAATGAAGAGCAAATATTGTAGTGTAATTTGTCTCATTAGAAAACATTTTTGCAGAGGGCTTTGGGTTAAGTATTTGCTGATTCTCAGTCATTACCCATTTTTCTTCTCAGCCAATCATCGGGCACAGCACAAAATGTCCCGGCAATAACCTGACCCAACGCGGGCTTGTTTGATAGTCGTCCGAAGCGAGTGCGCCAACTGCCAACGGCCAACTGACCTAAGAAAACCACGACGATGGTTTGATGTATGATGATTGTGGTTCAGACAGGAGTGTTTGTTGTTCCAGTGTGGTTATTGTTTATCATTAGTGTACAGCGATGTAATCAAAATTAAGTGGGAAAAATGTAATCATTAAATTAATCAATAAATGTGTTAAAACATACAAATGCGATAAAATGTTTTTTTTTTTCTTTTAAATTCCCATCTAGGACAGCAAGAATAATTATTTGGCCACCTTGTCTGAAAACTGATTAGCACCTTCTATGGGTGTGGTCACAGATAGTAATCTCTAGTACTGCAGTTTGATACCCGCCCAACGCCGTAAGTAGATCAAGTAGAAATATTTGCAAAGAGAAGCAGCCGAACACCAGCACCTGGAGGTGGCGGTGACTACTAATGCAGTATTAGGTACTACTAGTACACTACTCATGATGAGCAAATTAGGCCCGTTCCGACATATCCTACCTGCAATATATAGAAGAATATCCAAAAAAGTTCTATACAGTTTCTAAAATTGAGAGACTAGACGGATATGACAACTCGGCTGTTGTAACTTATCAAGAATATTTATACTTTTTAATGTCACTATATGTCTCCATGCACACTTTTGACTAAAATTAAATTATTTTTGCGGAATTCAAGTTCAACTTAAGATTTTTTGGTCGTAATAAGAGATAAGCCAATCAAAAGGTAGAATACTAGGGGACATTTATACATACAAGGGTTTTTTTTTTTCAAAGTCGATTGGTTCAGGTGAAATAAGAGAGAAAGTGGAAAATAATTCAATTGGAACTCTTCCTGGCATTATAATTGTACTAAAAGATAGAACACAGGGAAGAAGGCACTTTGTATAGTATATACAATTGTTAAATACATACATATTTAGTGTTAAGCATCAACACCCGATTTGATCTAACCATCTTTGTCTATCAGTGTCTACGCAAACTATTTACTTAGTTTTGGAATATATTGAATAAAACATGTCAGATAATTTTCATAACTACATATACATATGTGTTAAAATCGTTAGAAGACGTTTTACTATAATTCAACAATAACAAATTTGTCAAAACAAAGTAATTAGCATTTTTAATGCTTTCCGTTCGAAAAATATTTGCACACAATGTGATGATAACAAATCATATCTGTTGCAGGCAATCGAAGATTATTTTAAAATTTTCTCGCCTATTTCACAATTATAATAAAACCGAAACGCTGCTATAACAATAAATTTTTGTGTAGTTTTGGGTTTAATAAATAATGATAAATAAATCCTTTGCAGATTGAAGAATAATATAAAATGGCTATATCTCAAATTTAGTGAAAATATGTTGAAAAATAAAAAGATATAATTTTTTTTTTTGGAAAAATTTTCCGATCGTACCTTTGTCAGCTATATGATATAGTCGTCCGATCCGGTCCGTTCCGACATATATAAGAGTGAGAGTATATATAAGACTAACTGTAAAATTTCATTCAGATAGTTTCAAAACTGAGGGACAAGTTTGCGTAGAAACGGACATGGCGAGATTGACACGGCTGTTGATGCTGATCAAGAATAAATGTACATATGTATATACTTTAAATGGTCGGACTCCTTCACTGCGTTGCAAACTTCTGACTGCAATTATAATACCCTGGAAGGGTATAAAATAATTATTGGATCTGGTGCAGTCGTTTTTTGAATGTTTAAGTAAAATCATATAATAAACATTTTGTTTGTTAAACATTAAAGTTAAAATGTTAATCAAAACCCTAAAAAAAGGCAGGGGCATACTTGCTTTGCGGAGACGACTAAGGTCGTTAGTTTGAACTGATCCGCAGGTCCTTTCACATCGTGGGTTCGAACCGAACCGCCGGTCATTTATAATTATATTACTATTATAATTTATTAAAACCCATGTTAAAGAAAGGAGAAAAAAGTGGTCATAACCACACTAACTCCAAACATTCTAATATACATATTTGTGAAGATTATATAAAAACTAACAAAAAGAAGTTAACAAATAATTTAATCAGATTCGTTTGCGTCACTAAAGCATCTAGCAGCCTTAAAAATAAAGACTTACATGCAGAATCCGTGCAAAAACGAATCGGTTGATGAATTTCATCAAAAAATATATTTATTATAGAGCCGGAAACGATCCTACACTGTATATAATTTTTTTCAGAACCCACCCACACTGTGTGGTGCAATATCATATGAATATCCATATGTACGTATTCACATACATGCGTGTTTGTTGGGGGCGGTTCTTGTATTACTTCAAGTTTGTCAGCCGATGGAGTTTGAAATGGAGAAAAAAAAATAATACAAATAAAAAAACAATCGCGGTCATGGCAATTAATCTCACAATGTTAATTTTTGAAAAAGGCCATACTATATTATTTCACAGCCCAGCGAGTATACGAATCGGCTATAAAAGCTTGAGCACCCCATTTGGAGAGGTCAAGTTTAGTCGAATTGTGGAAGCATAAGCCTAGCAACATGCAACGGTTACCGATAATTTTCTTAGCAGTCTTGCTTCTTAGCGTCGCCATTTTAGTGCGCGGCTTCGACGAAAAGGAAGCCATGGCCAAGCTAATGGAGTCTGCCGAGTCCTGTTTGGGCCAAGTCGGTGCTGCTCAAAGCGATTTGCAGGACCTGGTTAAGAAACAACCTGCATCCACCTATCAAGGCAAGTGCCTGAGGGCATGTGTAATGAAGAGTTTTGGGCTACTCGACTCCAGCGGCAAGCTGGATATCGAGGCCGGCCACGAGAAAGCAAAACAGTATACAGGGGATGATCCCACCAAGCTTAAAATCGCCCTCGAAATTGGCGACACTTGTGCTGCCATCAGTGTGCCGGAGGATCACTGCGAGGCCGCAGAGGCCTACGGCATTTGCTTTAAAAGCGAGGCCACCAAACATGGACTAATGTAGACCGACCTGCAGCCCCCAACCTGGATCAGCGCTGGTCCACTCCCAAGCCACGCACGTACTACGTATGTGCTACAGTTTATAAGATTGTTCAAAATGAGTTGTTAAGTGAATTAAAGGCATTCCAAAAATTACTCACTCT